GGGGGGGGGGGGGGGGGGAGGATGTTATCCGGAAAAAATTTTTCCTGGAAAATTTTTTTAGATAGGGGCCCCTAAAAAAAATTTGCCCCGGGCCCCCGCCAACCTCTGGGCGGCCCTGTGCATAAATGTCCCGACATATATCTTCTAAATCCTATGGCAACTTTTTTGCGGCATAGGAAGAAGCTAAGTGGTTAAGTGGCAAGAGCATTTCAGTGTTTGCACATTCTTTTGCTCCGATTTCAACAGCTGGGAAACCGAATTTCTTTCTCGGCCAAACATCATGTTGGTAGTATCCGACGAATAACCAGTGATATTCTTCATCGGGATAAGAAGCTCAGTGAAGGTGTTCTTTACCGAGGAGTAAATTGCGCATGCTTCAGCAGTACGCGCTTCGACTTCGACCATATGGACTAAATAATGTTTGGTTTCAAATGCATCCATGTCAAAATAAGTCGCCAAAATAGCAAGCTGTCTTGATGTGCTTAAGTCGGTTGCTTCGTCGATGACGAAACTAAACTTTTCCGAACGTAAAGTGGAAACTGTTTGGTGTAAATAGTCGAATCCCAGGACTTGGCGAATCACGTTTGAGGCTTTTTGCTTTCCAAGCGTGACGGTTTTTATTACATCGTCGCGGGGGGAAAGTGACTGAAGAAACTGTACAAGACCGTCGCTAAGAGATATCGGCAAATTGTGCTCAGCAAGGAAAGCACCGCATATCTTAATTTCCATCGATTTTGCACGATCATTATTATTGCTGGCGACCCTTTTCCAAATATCATCCATGTTGCCAGTGAAGCTGGTTGAGGCTTGGTGCTTCTCGTGACTCTTGCTTTTCAAGTGGCGGTTTAAACCCGTTTTCGAGCAGTTAAGTTCTTTATCACAGGTTTTGCACCAAGGTTTCGATTTACCATCACTACAAACTTTCTTGCAAAGCCACGTTTTAAATGCACTGTGTTGCAGCCAACTATCGACAAATATCTGCTCTTTTTTGCTCTTTCCGCTGCTGCTTTTGGACCAGGCACTTGTCCTGCACGCTTTCTACCCGTTTGCATTTGAAAACCAGTTGAATTTGAAACTTCGTCTTCTGATGAGCTTGACTCAGAAGTTGATATATGAGCCATCATAATTTATAAACTTATTACTTTTGTTGGTTTAGAAATTACAGTTTTCCCTTTTTTGACTGTTTGTTTTTTAGCTTATAACAAATTGTATCTATTTATTTTAATTTAAGCAGGCATTAAAATAGCGTGTCCTTGTACACACTTTGTGTCCTTGTAAAAGGCGAATGTGCCCTTGTAAATTGAAAAGTGTGTACTTGAAAATATATTAAACTGAAAATATATCAATGCAATCCACGCAAAATGGCCAAAGATTTTGCAAATTCTGTTCTCAGAACTCTGGAAATGCCATTTCAGAGACCCCCTTAAAAGCTCGCGTCTTCGACGCTAAACTTGTGGCTTCGGCACTCGTTCTCGTGAGTCTGCGCATTTATACCAAAAATACGCCTCTGAAGGCAAAGTGTGTCCTTGTAAAAATTCCGTATTTTAATGCCTGAATTTAAGTAAAATGTTGATGCAGGCAATACTTTTACTTCTTTACTTAAGTATAAGTCAAGGTCAAGGAGTTACTTTTACTTAAGTGAAACGATATCAATATACTTTCCTGAACACCGCAGATTGTATGAAATTAGTCATGGAAGGGAACTATACATGCATATTGCGACGGCAGCAAGGCCAAATCTGCATGAGATTATAACAATACCTAGCTGCATATAAGCCAGACGAAATCAATGGGGCAATGTCATTTATAGTAAGGTGAATTACAAAACCTATATAAATATCCAGCTGGGCCGGATGGAAGCCAGTATTGCAGATTGTGAAAATTACGAGAACGTCACAAAGCCAACTGGGCTTGATTGGATAACAATTATTGCGAAACTTATTAACAATTCATGAAAAACACACAAAAGAAATCATGAGCATGAAGGAGTTTGTATATCAGATTCAGAATCATGCATATTTACAAATTACATATTCAACGTTAAGTTTCAATTTTCTTACCAAATATCATTCATTTATTTTAAATTGCCGGTTGAAGAATACGAATGTTCTCATCGAGACGTTTTGCAAGCCGAATATATACAGCATTCGAGTCCGTGTTGTATCAAACATACAACCTCTCGTCTTCGGCTCGATAGGCCAAAGTAATATTTTAACGTACTTCCGCGTAGCTAAAATGAATTCTGCGAAATTACTGTGAAATGATAATGCAAAATTTGTAAATAAAAGCAATTTAAAGTCCCATTTTACAACAAATTGAACAATGATATTAGTTACCTGCATGCACGAAAAGCTGAGAAACAAACAAATTAGATAATAATTATGTTCATTTACAAACAGTCAACCTGTATACCTACCGAGAACTCCCGGAATTTGGCGACAAAAAATCGTGGAAAACTGTGCAAGATTTTTTCTTATTCTCCAGTTCAGCTCAGTTGAAGCCGCTCTGTACGATTCACAAAGCAGTTTACTGTACAAAGCAGTTTACTTCAGAGCAGTTTACTGTACGATCAGGTACTTCGATACTGTGATATGTTACTACAAGTTCATCAAAGACAAAACAAAAGGGGTCGCCCAGGGTCAACTGCCACCAATCTTGATACCAGGAAATTTTGATTGAGCATGTGACACTTATCTAAATAATCACATGATGCAAAAACCGAAATCATACACGCATGATTTTTATTGTATTTATTATCAATAAGAAGAAATGGATCGCGAGAACACCCTGGCTTGCAATAGTCAAGCAGATAGAGGAAAATAAATGAGAACGCCCCATATGAGGAAAACGGTTACCTTCATTTTTTACTCATTTTACTTGAGTGTGGGGTGAATGTTGGGCACAGCGGCCCAGACGTGTATTAGTGTACAGACTATAGTAAATATATCATTATAGAATATACTACACAGTGAAATTTGTAATGAATTTTATCTTTTAAAATCATATTTACTTGCCTACTTTGATTGTATGTGATCGTCTTTTATTTCTGGACGACTTTACACTCTGTGCATGCGACTGTCATCATAGGTGATAGCAGGGATGCCGGAAGTTGCTGGGGGCAAGGGGTGCAATTGGTTAACAAGAGGGCATATTCCTTAACAAAAGGGCACTAATGAAAATGAAAGGGCATCTAAAAATTATTTTTGGCGACCTCCACCCCCTCCAAACCCCCCCCCCCGTCGCCAAAAATATTTTGGTCAGTGTACCATTTTAGGGGTAAAAAATTTTTCGGACATACCACAATTTTTCCTAAATACGACAAAAAATTTTCCGGACATACCGAAAATTTTTCCGGAAAATGTTATTTTTTCCGGTAAATAAAACATTTTTCCGGAAATAACATAGATTGAATTTTTCAAAAATGCATGCCCTTTGCGCAAAAAATGCAATTTTTAATGAAAATTTTTCACGCAAAAAGGGCACTTTGTGCACCCGTTGCTCCCGTATTCTGCACCCGTAGTGCACCCGTAAAGTTGTGAAGACAAAAGGCAACGGGTGCAACTGCACCCGCTGCACCCGTGGTTCCGGCATCCCTGGGTGATAGCAATGAAAGCAAAGGCTAACGATTCCAGTTCTCAATTAAACCGGCGACACGAACACTTCAACTCGAAAAAATATCCCCTTCAAATTGCTTTGTTCTGGGTAAAAATTCGCCAACGAATAGAATAAACACCCATGTTCGAACATACAAGGCAATTTTAACATGTCCTACAATTTTTACAATGGATGTTTAGCGAAATGTTTCAAGACTAGAATTCTATGGAACTTAGAAAGCCCGATAATTACTACGGCGCTTGCTTGGCGACCGAGCCTCCTTTACCGTTTGGATTGTCAGGGGGGGGGAAGCAAATAACAAACACCTATTTCTGGCAACAGCCAGCCAATCAACGCAGCGATAGCGACTGTTTACAATATTTGAAATCTGATATTGTAATTTGCATAACTCTTTCGATGAATCGATCGTCAGGTCGATCGTATACTATACTACTTGATCGGTCGTATACTATACAGGCCCGTTTACACGGGCGATTTTTGCTGCGTTTTAGTTGCGTGATGATGTGAAGGAGTGGATGAGCAATAAATGTTCCAGGTTATGAATTCACCATAACAACATTATCATATCATTATCCTATCACTTGATCAATGATGATCATACTAGCACCTCACTGATCAAGAAACTAGCTGTACAAAGAGATCTCGGCGTTTTAATTACTGGATATTTCAAATGGAGGAAACAAGTTAATGCTGTATGTACAAAGGCCAACAGAATGCTGGGATTCATTAGAACGTCAGCCGACATGCGCGTTCCACGTATAAGAACCGCACTGTATAAAACATTAGTTCGAAGTCACTTCGTGTATAGCTCACAAGTCTGGTCACCACAATCTGTAGCACTTATCCTTGATCTCGAGAAAGTACAACGGCGTGCAACAAGGTTTATATTATCCTTATCGTTTCAGTCTGAAACCAATTATAAAGATTATTATTAATGTGAACGAGTAGATAAGTCAATTTAGTCATGAATGTTCACATTGCTGTACATGTACTCCGAACATTCGCGACTCCTCTACTCGTTCACATGCATCAGAAGGAGAAAATCACATTAGAAATCGCAGCAAAAATTGCAAGTGTAAACAGGCCTTAAAAGTATTTTAACTAACGTTCCTAGAGTAAACACTTTAACTTTTCAAAACTGAGCTATTTTAATTAATAGAGCTCCTAGAACATATAATTGCTTGCCATCTTATATCCGTGACGCTGACGTCACAATTGGCCAATTCAAATCATACTTGTTGAAATATTATCACGAAATGACTGAACTTATATATGACATTAATGTACCACAAAAACTGTCTGTGTTAAATGTCACTCGTGTCGTCCTTTGTCGAGCCTTGTAGATAAAATGTGTTGTAATTGAAGTAAATGTTTAGTTAAGCTAGGGACCCTGTGAATGGGGCAATAAACCCTGTAGGGATCACCAGTCATTTATGACAAAGCTAGTAAATAATTAAATAAATAAATAAATTATTAAGTAATCTACTCCTTCACATCCTCCAAAAGGAGAAAATCTCAACCAAAATCGCAGCAAAAATCGCCCGTGTAAACGGGCCTTACGATCGAATTCAAAGAGTTTTTGCAAATTACAATATCACATTTCAATTATTGTAAACAGTCGCTATCGCGGCGTTGATTGGCTGGCTGTTGCCGGAAATAGGTGTTTGTTATTTGCATTCCCCCCCTGACAATCCAAACGGTAAAGGAGGCTCGGTCGCCAAGTAAGCGCCGTAGTAATTATCGGGCTTTCTAAGTTCCATAGAATTTTAGTCTCGAAACATTTCGCTAAAAATCCATTGCTAAAATTATAGGACATGTTAAAATTGCCTTGTGTTTGTTCTTGGGTGTTTATTCTATACGCTGGCGAATTTTACCGCCGAACAAAGCAATTTGAAGGGGATATTTTTCGAGTTGAAGTGTTCGTTAGCATTTGCTTTCATTTTTATCACCTATGATGACAGTCGCAAGCACAGAGTGTAAAGTCGCCCCGAAACAAAAGACAATCACATACAATCAAAGTAGGCAAGTAAATATGATTTTAAAATATAAAATTCATTACAAATTTTACTGTGTAGTATATTCTATACACTAATACACGTCTGGTCCGCATTGTGTGGGTCAGTTAAACAATGGGAAATAGCTAGCCTGCTTTGCGCGCATTGTTTGCCTGAAAATCGGGTCTTTCGAAACCGGAAACCGGGCTGGAGCACGCGTTCGGGCAAAATTTTGACTTGGCAAGCGAAGCACGCCAAATGGCTATCTTTAAAACAGGGAACGGGGAATCGGGGAATCCGGGAATCGGGGAATTTCTAGAATTTTGTGCGAGCGAACGGCATTTATTGGCGTGGTTATAACTGAATCATTATTGACTTAACAAAATACAGTGAATTAATAATTCACCATTTATACCTCTAACATATCACTTGTATGAATGTTGCTACGTGCATCTCTAGCTCTGTGCGCGGAGTTACTAAAATCCACATCTGCTTGATTGCTTTGCTTCTCGCTACAACCTATAAAAATTAATGCGGTCAAACTTACGATTTTGATTCGTTTATTTGTAGGCAGTTGTCGCTTAATTGTTGAAAAACAAAAAAAACATCCTACTTATGTAAAACAACGTCCATACAGTTCACAAAAAGCACGTAACTGCCTATTCTATCTTTTATTTTGTGGAACAATCGTGAATCTATAGTCTAGCAGGGGCACTATGAATGGTAAATTGGTTCAAAAGCCCCCATGGTGGCCACCCACTCAACCATTTTGGCCACCCATGTCAAAGTCCCTTTTCTCTAAAATATAAGCAAAACATGGAATTTAGAAGGGAGGTTTGATATTCTAGTAACTGAAATTTGCTTTGTGAATCTTATGTCCTGTCTTTTATCTTTAATGCTAAACACTGTGTTGTAAATAACTTATTAGATTTTAATTAAACATTTTCCAGTGGATTGCATTTCCTAGACCCTATAGATTTGAGTTGTTGGAAGGCTCGGCTAAACAAGTTAGTGACCGGCCGCAGGGGGCAACGGGCCCCCAACCCAGTGATTTATAAGGGGGGGATAATTTTTGCCCCACTCCAAAAAAACCAAATTGATTTCGAAACTAGAAGTATTTGAAATCGTATATATATAATCAAATATCTGTAATCGATATTTTGATAACAACATTTCTCGTAATAATCCATCCTGACTCGCGGATAGCAAAGACTCACAAATCATAATGAACGAATTAATGAAACGGCCTAACAAAAGAGGTAGAGAAGATTTTAAAAATGCCATTTCTGTATATCCAAAAATCTGTTTCAGAAAATGCCAGGAATTGCATTCAGGGTTAGAAAAATACAAACATTTTCTGGGGGGAAATACCTCCAGACCCCCCCCCTCCCCCACTATTAAATGCGATAACACACCAAACTTTTTGTGACCAACACACCATCTGTCATTTCTCAACACTCGGTATAGTATGGTCCCTTTTTGTAGATGCCACCCCCCCCCCCCATTTACGATTATTCCAGACATGAGTAGCGTATATCATAAGAATTGGGTCATGACTCATATAGGATTGGAGGGTAATTATGACGTCATCCATACCAGAAT